CCCCAAAACCCCAAAACCCCAAAACCCCAAAACCCCGTATAGTACTCTGAAGTAATGAGTGGAGAATATCATTTAAATTTAAATAATATTTAATATATCATGGAGGGAGATGTTGAGATGAAAACGGAGCCTCAAGCTTAGCCAGTAGTAGACCCCGCTGCTGCTGAGGAGTTGAAGAATCAAGGAAACGAATTCTTCAAGCAAGGCAAGTATTTGGAGGCGATCAACAGCTACTCTTAGGCTCTGGGTAAATATTAATAGTAGATAAGATTGAATATAGAGTTTAATAAAAATGAGGCGATTCTTACCAATAGAGCAGCTACATACATCCAACTCAAGAAGTATACTACAGTTAAAATTATAATCACCGAAATTTAGATATAAAGAAGCATTGTTCGACTGCGAATAAGCAATAGTGCTGAACAGATAATTCTTGAAAGCCTACTAGAGAGCCTATAAATGCTACATGACCCTAGGTGATCTTGAGGTAATAAATCACTCATAGTATTTGCTTATCATTACAAAAAAATTAACCAATTCTTTAGAAAGCTAGAGAAGTTTCATTAATTTCAAAGGACTTAGGAGATGATCAGGCTTTGAAGCAAGTTCAATTGATGAATACTGTAAGTCTATCATAGCTGAATAGTGTTTAATGGATGTGTTAGTTAATTGATATGCAACACAAAGCAAGATAGTATATGCATGACAGATAATACTCAGATGCACTTACTTATTGTAGTCAGTTGGTCAACTACTGCCCAGACTGTGCGAAATATGTCGGAATGAAGATTCAAGCATATATTGGAATGAATAAACTAGTAGAAGCCATCGAGTTCTCCTCAAAATTGCAGTCTTAATTTATAGAGAACCCAGAGTACTTATTCTGGCGTGGTAAGCTTCTTATCTACAACAGCAATATGGATATGGGTAAGAAGTATGTCAGAGAGGCTCTAAATAAAGACCCTGACAACGTTACATATTAAAAGGCATGGAGGAATCTAAGCAAGATGGACAAGGTGAAGAAGGAGGGCGCAGACTTCTTTTCATCAATGGACTTCAAAGCAGCCATTGAAAAGTTCACAGAGTGTCTCGAGCTAGACCCATTGAATAATCAGTGGAACTCTTCTATTCTGTTTAATAGATCTCTAGCATACTTGAAACTGGCCAACAACAAAGAAGCTCTGGCTGATCTCACCAAAGCCATTGAAATCAATGAGGACTATGCTAAGGCTTATCTCAAGAGAGGTGAGTTGAATTTAACGATGCAAAATTACGAAGAGGCAGTAAGAGACTTCGAGAGAGTTAAGTAAATTGATCCCAGCACTGCTGGCATCTCCTAAAAGGTGTAGAATGCCAAGCTTGAACTTAAAAAGTCTAAGCGTAAAGACTACTATAAATTATTGGAAATCGAATAGACTGCCAATGAAGATGAAATAAAGAAAGCCTACAGGAAGAAAGCTCTAATGTGGCATCCAGACAAACATTAAAACGATGATGAGGAGGGAAAGAAGCACGCAGACAAAATGTTCAAAGACATAAGTGAGGGCTATGAAATTCTTTCAGATGCTCGCAAGAGGAACCAATACGATTAGGGTGCTGATTGTGACGAAATAAATCAAGGAGGCCATGGTGGAGGTGGTTTCCATTCTTAAGACCCATCAGAAATATTCCAAATGTTCTTCGGTGGAGGAGGCGGTGGTGGCGGAGGTCATCAGCACTTTTTCACCAACAGAGGTGGTCGTTTTTGAGAGTGTCAGGCAAAGTAAAATCATCGTTAAAACTTTCATAGTGTGTTTTAATTATCCTTTACTTATTCATTCATTTCTATCGAATCTTAGAATATTCTAGAATTAAGGGGTTTTGGGGTTTTGGGGTTTTGGGGTTTTGGGG